GGCCCCTGCTGGTCCCACAGACCCTCGGGTCCCTGACAGGCGAACACAGCCGTCCCTGCACACAGAAAGCAGCCGTTACTGTGTGTTCATGTCACACCGTAAACACACACACATCAGCGTCCTTCACTGCTGCTTCCACAGATGACAAGAAACGCTTTCAAACGTCTGTGATCATAAAAGAATGTGTAATTACTTCCTCTGATGGAGATAAAATCACTGCAGCGTGTGTGTGTGTGTGTGTGTGTGTGTGTGTGTGTGAGAGAGAGAGAGAGTGTGTGTGTGTGTCTGTACTGTCACTTTTGATCAATTTAACGCATCATTGCTAAATAAAAGTATTAATTCCTCAACTTTTGAATGATATTATATAACGGAGTGTTAAAAAATACACAGATGTCAATCAAAAGCTAGTGTTTTTTGATGTTTTTGTTTTGAATGAGTTTATGAGGATGTGAATGTGTTACTCTGAGAAACACCCAGAGGACAAATCCAAGAACAAACAACTAATCATGAAGAAACTGCCAATCACCCGAAACAATGGAAACAGACGGGAGGCCTGGAAAACGTTTGGATATGAGCAGTGAGAGAAATGAAGGGAAAAGCTGAACTTTAAAGAAAGAAAAGTAGAGGAAGGAGAGTGACAGACCGAGGTGAAAGGCGAGTTTGTGTTTGATGCGTGTGCTGCGTTTGTGTTATTTGTGCTCAAGCTGTGCATCGCTCGTCTGCTGCACATCCACACACTCACAGAGAAAAACACCACACCTGGGTTACCAAAACAAGCTGTTAAACATGCAGTGACCAGGGCTTATTTGCTCTGTAGAAACAGGGTAAGGCGTCGCTATGCAGTTGCTAGGATGTTCATGGTTAAGAGCAGATTTCTGAAATGTTATTTGTTAATATCTATCAATTAAAATAGAGGGACCACACATTCTTCATTTTTTGTTAAATAATAATAACTATTATTACTATCATCATTACTGATTATTTTTTAAACATTATTTATAATCATTACGTTTGCAAGTCAAACTGATTATATTAAAATTAACTAATAATCACACTATGATGAATAGTAAATAATTGCGAGGAAAAAGTCAAAACTGAGAAAAAAAACTCAGAATTGTGAGATGTCATTTAGAATTTAGAGAAAAATAGTCAGGGCTATGAAAAAGAAAGTCAGAATTCTGAGTTAATTGCTTGTAATTCTGACTTTTTCTCAAAAATCTGAGCTTATATCGCGCAATTTTTCTCAGAATTCTGATTTCCCCCCCCTCCCCAATTCTGAGTTTACATCTCGCAAATATGAATTTATTTCTAATTAAGTTTATCCTGCAGTTCTGACTTTTTTTTTTAGTTTGTTTCTCATAATTCTGACTTTTTTTGAGAATAACTGTGAGACATAAACTCACAATTTCTGACTTATATCTTGCATTTCTCTTTTTTTATCTCAAAATTCTTCTGAAAATCTTTTTTGAGAAAAATTGTGAGATATAAATTCAAAATTTAAAAAAAGTCTAAATTACAAAAATGTACTCAGAAATCTGACTTTCTTTTTCATTGTTCTGACTATTTTTCTCTAAAAAGTTTATAATCACAAATTTTCTCAGAATTGTGAGAAAAAGTCAGCATTGCGAGATGCAACTCAGAATTCAGAGAAAAACTGCCAATTTTTGTATTTATTATTTTCTAAATCTTAGTTTATTTCTCGGAATTATATGTTAACATTTTTATTAACCATAATTGTGACTTTTTTTAATTTGAGCTTATATTTTAACATGTTTATTTCATGACGGAAATAATTGCTTGCATAACAAACAAAGAGTATTACTCTATCAAAAATAGTTAATATATTAATAATAGTGCTGTCAAACGATTAATCGCGATTAATACAAGTTAAACGTTTTTGTTTGCATAATATATGTGTGTGTTCTGTGTACATGTATTATGTATATATAAATACACACTCATACAGTATACTGTATATTTTGAAAATATTTACATGTCTATATTTATATTCATATAATTTATATTATACATAAATATATTTAATATATAAACATAACATTTTTCTGAAATATGTACATGCATGTGTGTGTATTTATATATACATATTAAATATATACAGTACACATACATATATTACGTAAACGAAAACTTTTATTTTGGATGCGATTAATCGTGATTAATCGTTTGACGGCACTAATTAATAATGAATAAGATATTTCAATATCTTGAAAGTAGGGCTGTGCAAAAAATCGAATGCGATTTTCATGCGCATCTCGTCAGTAAAGCCGCTCCTGTGATTAGTAGTAAATCTCCAGCATGTGCTTTCAGATGGAGCGGCATTTACAACACAGAGCCGTAGTTCACTGACAAGCTACGCAAAATCGCGTTCAAAATCGCAGGCGATTTTATGATTATGAAAGCGATAACAGGTGTCTCTTTTTATAAACTGATGATAATAGTGCTCTGTTCCTGGCCAAGTATTGGCGCAACTTAGTAACCAGTGCATCTCTCAGCGCCCTCTGCTGGTAAACGTAATCACTACATGGCTGCTCTGGACTGTTGTAACTTACCGACGGTTCCCGGTGGGCAGGGCTGCTTGGACACGAGGCCCTGTCGTGTTTTGGGCCAGGTGATGGAGGAGTCGGTGACGGGGCTGCAGAACTCCACAGCGATGTTGGGCAGGACGGAGGACGGGTCAGAGCGCGCCGTGACCTCGGGAAGAGCTGCCGGCTGCCGGTCTGTGGTGGTGCTGCGTGGGGCCTCCGGCGTCGTGGAGGGAGATCGGGTGCTGCTGGTCATGGTGGTGCTGGTGGAGGTGGTCGCCGTGGTGACAGTGACCGGGCGAGTCGTGGTGCGTGTCATCGTCGTGTCCATTAAGACGTTTCCTGAGGAGGAAGTTTCTGGAATCAGAAAAAAAAATAGAGCTATAAAACGGATAGTTCTGCTCCTTGATTCTGATTGGTTGAGCCAGGTTCGAAGCTGTTGTAAGTTACTCTACAGACATACACCTCTTTGTTTCTGTGTGTTGCTCGGCAACCAATTTGTTGCAACCACAACCATTTCTGAGGAACTACATTGTTTGGCAGAAGAATAATTTCTGCGTCCCAATTAGCATACTATCCGTCCTAAATAGTATTTGAAAATAGAATTAGTATGTCCCAAATCGTAGTATGTTGAAAAGAGTATGCCATAGATTCCCGGATGGTCTACTACTTGAGATTAAAATTCGAAGTGCAGATCGATGCACACTCTAATGGCTAATATTGCCCACAACACATTGTGCGGTAGATGTCGATTAGAACTACAAACACGCATAAAAAGTGTTTCAAAACTACAAACATGTCGGCTATGCAAGACCGACGGACAGGCAGAGAAAGGGGTTTGAGTGATAAATAATCAATGTCTAATTTGATTAAAAATATTTATTTAATGTTATGCGCGTTATATTTCATCTGCAGCAGCATTGTGAACATTGTTATAATGATACTTTTAAATGCATCATTATGCAAACATATGAAGAGAGTTCTTGGCATGATAGACCTGTGACTGGCAGATCAACGTCCCTCTTCATTTCTCTCCAATACGGTAGGAAATTAAATTAAATGAAATGTGAATTTTGTTAACTGTGATGAGATGATTGGCAGTGCAGTTTAAACAGTGACAGAATGTATGTAACTAAGCAACAGAGCATCCGTTAAAGACGCAGTTATGACGAAGTAGTATGTCCCAAAGCTTGCCTAATATTCTGCTACATTCTCAAAAGTATGTACTTTTTCTTCACAAAAAGAGTACATACTTTTAGGGCATAGTATAAGTAGGCGAATTGGGATGCAGCAAATGTTTTTATTAATATCATTACATTTTATTTGCTTTGCTTTATTTTGTGAAACCTTGCTACGTATATGGAATAACCGTTTTATAAAAGCAATAAGCCCCGTGAAGCCGTGGTTTACAGTGAATTTATAACAGCTAAGCACTGCTTCGTGCCTAACAACTCCCCTCAGCTGTTACAAATTCACTGTAAACCACGGCTTCTTGGGGCTTATTGCTTTATTTTAGAACACAACAAATGATATTTAAATCAGAAATGATATTTCCTGTAATAATGACCATTATTATACATAGCAACACATTATCTATCAGCAAATTGCTTAAATAAAAATCAACCAAGCAGCACCCTGAAGAAAACGACTTCATACTGAGATACAAAATTGCACAGTTATATAAAGATCTAGCGGCTCTAATGCAGACATTTCTCTTATTTCTCTTTATTATCAAATCTACTGCTGAATTTCTTCTCAAAGTAAACTCTCATCAAAAAGCAAAAGAGTTTGAGTTTAACCTTGGAAGACTTCTTCTCCAGAAGCATCATCAGATGTTCAAGAGTGAAGACGTGTTGTCTGCACTGTTAGGGATTCAAGATATATGTTTATTATTATTATTATTATGAGTGCCAGGAGTGCTAGAAACCCTCTTGTTTTTGTCATGATTATGATTACTAGAGGTTCAAAGGCAGAATATGTTTTCACTGCTTGCTGCTATTATGCCAGACGTGTTGCTATGGTAACTACACCTTCAACTCTAAATCTGTAAAATCAATAGACACGTTTATTATAGTTTATTGTGTATATTAACGACAACCTACACTTCACACCTGTACAATAACTAGAAAACATCCACACCACTGAGGTACTATTACAGGTTTTTTTATTTTATTTTATTTTTTTCAATTTGATTTTATTTTTTATATTTTCTGTTTTCATTTTAAACTTTTAATTACATTTTTAGTAATTATA